TACGAGTGTAAGAAAAAGTCAAAAACATATAGCTGTAACAATTAAACAAACAACAAATTTCTACGGAAAAAAAGAAAGTTTTTTGGGGTAATTACAAAAATGTCATTTTTGTGTGCACTTTTGCAAAAATGCCATTTAGGAATGTCCATTTATAAAAATGCCACTAATTATAGATTTTTAAAGCTTATATCTTAAAATTCTAAACCCTAAAAAATGTTTTGACACTTAAAATCCCCTAAATACTCAAAACTAAACTCTAATAGAACATAATTAACCCAAACATAAATAATATAGAAAAAAAAAATTTTGAAAAAGTGAAATTTTTGTAAAGATTTCAAAAATGTGGTATTTTTGTAAAGTGGCACTTGAAAAATGACATTTTTTTAAATTTTCTCAAGTTTTTTTATAATGTATTTTGAATCATGAAGTCTGCTATTTTGTTCATGCTTTCTTACATTTTGATCTCACTCATTTTGACTCATGTTCAAGGTAATATTTATATATATATCATCATTTTAGTTCTAATTGTTTACTCTAAAACTTTTAAATGTTAAGTATTATTAAATGTGAAAATGGTTTTATGATATTGTTTTATTAAAAAAAAATCTCGAACTTAATTTAATAATTAACATTTTTTGCTAATATTCAAAATTTTGATTTACGATTGAATATTTTTATGATTGATATAACATACTAGGTGTGGAGGCTAAAAAGACTATGATACATGTGTGTGGAGACACAGAGTGGTACGAAGGAACTTGCAGCAATCCTTCTAACTGCATTGAAAAATCAAAACACGGAGTAAAGAATCAAAAACCTTTTCATTGCGACTGCCATGATTATGGTGTCGCTAGGATTAAGAATGTTAAGAAAATTCATCATTCTTGCAAGTGTCGTTATTATTGTAATTAGACATGATGCCCATTCTTACGTATATAACTATCCCAGCTATGTCTTAATTATTGTTTCACTACTAAAATTCTACTTGTAAATAAATAAAACGTAAACTATAAGAGTTTAAAAGTCGAGATTTTGAGATTGAGAGAGAGTTGAGAGATATCTTCAAGGATTTTGGCGATCTCGAGTTTCTGAGTCTGTGAATTGATTATCTTGATAAGAGATTGTGAGTCGGAAGCCATTCAGAATCCTTGGAAGCCCTCGATTGCCGCATGCATAAGTTATTCATGAAGAGCCATCGCTTCTGCTATGAAAGCCTATATGGGTCACTGTTGTAAATGTTGGAACTCGTTTTGTGACAAAATGACTAACGACCAGTTTCTAGTGAGATTTTCGGTGGAAACGTTCATCGGAATGACCGAATTTAAAGCACGATAGATCGTCGCCGTAAACACTATAACATAGTGTACTCACTTGTCAAAATCGAAGTTAATTTGAATAAGAAATTAAAATCCAAAATGGATGACTTGAAAGCTTGTAAAGCTTCAAAATTTAGTTAAGTGTAAAAACTATCAAATATTCCACTTTGGAATTTTGGATATAAAATCTTTAAGCGTATAAAGAGGAGAACTCATAACAAGGTCCACAACCTTGAATACAATTTAGTGTGGTGGAGAAAAAAAAATACCCGGACCGGGCTTTGGCCTTAAGTTTAGGATTATGGCAAATGGGCTAACAACCCAAAAGATTAATCAAT